AAAAAAGATCACTATTTCACTCTTCTATTAGTTTGCTTCATGTTTGTCACGATTGGACTATAAACATATACGGCAAAAGATGACACATCCTGTGTCAATGTAAATGTCACCTCCTCTGGCTCACCATAAACTTCATCCAGACAGGACCATTTAGGGATCGCTCTAAGCTGGTTTTTGTTTTGTTTTCAGTTGTGAAAAACGGAATGGGAAATCACCAATTGTTTGCTTTAGAAGCTGGCTTCGAAAATGCCGGTTTGTATTTACCTTGATGTTTTCTCACACTCATTCCAACCACGCAGTTAGGATCTAAGAAAGAGCCTCCTTGGAAACATGTTTTTTCCATTTTCAGCAATGAGTTCCAGAGGCAGTAAGAGCCACACAGCTCTGGGAGTGCCTCTGGGCAAAAGATAAAGGAGGTTATAGCTAGTGGAAGCGGTAATTAGAGCCAATTACAACGTGACTTATCTGCTTTGTCATTAAAATGCCTGTCAGACCTCTCATTTTTCTAAACTAGAGGAAAAGAAAAGGTATAGCTTAGTGGGGGAGAGGGTTAGCCAAAGGGAAAAGGATGCCTACCGCTGTTCTCAAACTCACCCTGTAACCTTAGAAAACACATAGCCTTTTTGGCTTCACGGTGCTTTGCTCAGACTCTTAACTCTGGAAGCTAAAAGGAACTTGGGAATCACTAGGTACAGTCTCTTGTCTTCTTGCAAGTATTATTGCCCCACCCCTTCCAAATGAGACATGAAAGACTCAAAAGACTAACTAGAATCTATCTTGTGCTTATATGCTATGGCTTTGACTTTGGTCTCATTTTTACTGTTATTAAAAGAATGTAATTTCCCTCACAACTCTCAAAGATATTATACAGGTTAACACATAACAGCAAAGCACTTTGAAAACCTTTAGGGGATCTTATAAATAAGACCTTGCCAAGAGACACTACCACTTTAAATGAATAAAGTAATAGATCAGGCTTGATGCAGGGCATAGTGGCTCCCACTTGAAAACCCTTACTGTTTTGAGGCCAGCCAGGAAGACCTGTATCCAAACAACAAGAGAATTGGCTTGAGAAAACATTACTTTCTGCAGAACAAAAATGTCACTAATGGATATATCATTTTGAAAAAATAATCAAACAGTAAATGAAAAATGGAATCCTGACATTTGGTCTCTTGGGGGCACAGGTAAGAGGAAATAGCAGGTTTTTCTTACAAACACCGTCTAAATCTTCAATACAATCTCTTAATGCTGGGTTCCTTTGTTCTTCAAAGTATCTGTAGTCTGGTCACTGAATACCAGGACTCATTATCTGTCTTCTAGTCCCCAATCTTTCTTCACTTTACATTCTAACCCATTCAAATTACCCCACCCTAAAGCTCCATCTTTACCTGCTACTTTGAACACATTGCCTGCCTTACAAACCCTAGTTATCCTCTGTATTAAATTACTCATTCAGAATTCCAAGGTCTTTCTCCATCCCTACTGACCTTTGTTCCCTTTCTTTCAATACTACACTTTCTCCTCATATACCCAAAACAAAGCCCATCATCTATCTGATAAGCCATCTCTCTTCACCGTTGTTGAAAGCCAACACCTATTTAATATGAGGATACAGGGATGGAGCTGGGCACACAGGAACAGGTAAAGGACTCTTAGTAGTCATCTGATCCCTCAGAGATGACAGCCAAGCTCCCACCCTCGCCTGGATCCTCTGCCAGAGAAGGGCAGTACATGCACAATGTCCAGGACAATGTAAAGCGTCGCCTTGCTGAGCAGATTGTGATATGCCCTGAGAATTAAGTTTGTATTCTTAATAGAGGCTTCCATTTTCTTGACAAATGTTATGTACTGGTCACTAACACACAATCACCCTCTCTAGGGTGACTCCCTTAACTGAGGACTAGAGCGACAGGCAGGGAATTTTTAAGAGGGTTTTATGTATACTGAGAATATTGTGGCAGAGCATACCCCAGTGACGAACACTCTTGAGGTTCTTAGATCCAACACTAGTGATACTGAGTTTAATTCCTTGGCAGATAATAAGCATAGCATTTTAGAATTTTTAGATCACTCTTAAATATGTGTGCGTCTGTGTGTGAGCGTGCCTGTGCATGTACACACAACCACGGATAAAAGTATTTCTGTAACCTGGTAACTTCTGGGATGGGCTCAGTTACAGACTAAGAGGGTGGAGGGACAATGGTGTATTTATTTCTCTAAAGATAGATTTGACTTTGAGACACTCAAAAGTCACTTAAAACATGTCTGCTGATACTAGATTGGTAATGGCCTGAATATAACTCTGAATGAAACAAACATGTAAAATAACTAACCTATTTTACTTGAAGAATCACAAACATGTGGTACGTTCTTCCAAAGAATTCCTGGTTACTAGGTCATGTAATTAATTGATTTCAAAGTTTTGTCTGGAAGAAACTGAATTCATGCAAAAAAAGGGATGGGGTGGGGAATGCTCAAGCCGTCTACAAACTTGCAGTTCTTTTAGGGCCAGGTACTATGACTTCCATGCATCCGATTGGACTTCTGGGCAGTAACCACCCAAAACATGGGTGGGGAGTGGCCCTGTCTGACTTAAATGAATGGGACAGATGTAGGAAGCAAAGAATGGTACTGGATTACACAGAGACAAGCAAAATGCAAACAACACACACAGGCTTCCTGGTATGTAAATTCTTTTTGAGGTTAGAGATCTCCTTTTACAGAATTTAGTATATAACAGATTCAAAAACCAAACTTCTTGACCTCTCAAATAGTAAACAACTAAATGTGCAAAAGAACCACCATTAAACAGGACATCAAAAGCTATACATTTTCTATGAAACAATATGTGCACAGATTTTTTCAAAGCTGTGAAAATGCAATAAAGAGCACAACACATTTTGGTCACTTTATTAAATGACATTAAATCGTTTAAGTTTCAACTACTAAACAGCACTTTGAATGGTGAAAACACAGATAGTATATTGTCATACTTGAATGCTTTTCTTTAAAAACACAATTCCAGTCCTTATATATATTACAAAACAGCCTTAAAGGAAGAAGTGACATCTTTTCTACAGTACTTAAGATACTCAATACAGAACTGAAAAGCAGTCTAACAGAAACCAAGGCAAGTCTTCACAGCTGTATGATTTCAGCAGCCAAAGCTGGATGATGGACTGAAACATTACTATACAACTGGGACAAAACATATACAATATCACAATTCTAGGCCAAAACGCTTTACACCCAAAGAAATAAAACAGGTTACAAAATGTAGAGAATTTAGCAGGCAAAACTGTATTACAAGCAACATTTTCAAAATCGTCATTTTAAGCCATTGCAACTATTTAAAACATCTAAAACAAATATAAAAATGAGCTTTTAGTATCTTATGTGATATTTGTCTTTAAATATTTGTTAAAAGTTGATGTTATACTCAAAGTACATATATCATGTTGCTAAAATGTCAAGTGAGAAGAGTGTATGCAAAGTGGTCCAAGACATATTTCAAACTCTCTGATTTCCAATTAGTCCTTCTAATTACTATTCAAGTTATAACTTCATTCACTGTGAAAACAGATTAGAAGGTTGCCTAAAATTTTCACATCTATGTCTTTGAGTAAATAATTAGACCATGTTGAAAATTCCCAGGTCTAGTAAATCAGTTTTAAAGTATTCTGGTAACAGTTGGCCAGAGCATACTGCTTTCAAATATTTATCTCATAAATCTTGCTTCTTTTATTTCTTCCAAAGTACACACACATCTGACCCCCCCCCATTAAATGAACTCAATTAAATGGCTGGGACAGTATCTAAATACATAAAGTTCATTAGTGTGTTTTATCACGGAAAGGTGGAGCCACCAAACCTCACATATTCTCCATTATTAACAGAGTGTGTGCGAATGTTTCAGCCACTATTTTTTCCAAGATAAAAATGGAAATCTTTTATTATTCAAACAATAAAACCATGTTCAATTTTAGCTCAATGTTTAACTCATGTTCAATTCGATTAAGTCCAAAGATGCCTAGAACAAATACTCCACCCAGCTTTTCTTCAGCTATTCTACTACTTGTTATATCATTTCATAAATATTGCTATGATGAGTTGACTCCCATAGTCAAACACAATGGTTTTATTGAATAAGCTCAAGCAATCAAATTGAACATGAGTAAAATTATAGGTCACATTTCATAAATATGGATCTAGAAAAAGAATTAATATGATTTTCTAGTAAAAAACATTCATGAATTGGGTGAATTAAAAAAAAAATCACCCCAGAGATCAAAACAGGAAAAAAAATCAAACTGAAAATCAATTTACTAAAATGTAAAAGAACCGGGAAAAAGGAACACGGTGATGAGCGAAAAGGAGAGCATAGAAACTAGTGATTCTAATCTTTAAGAGGAATATTTCACAATACTGACAGTACTGGAGACTGTTAAAGCACATTCCTCATGTGAACTTAAAGTCAGCAACGATTCTGCCATTTTGATGTTGTTTATAAAACAGGGTGTGAGCCTAAAACCACAACTTTGGCGCTAAGCTCTTCAAATGCTCTAACTTGATTTTCTTAGTTTGCATCCCACTGCCAGCAACAGGATGAAGCACCAGCACTGGCACCATGGCTGACAGGTATGTTTCCATTAGTGCCAAGAGACAGGAAACTCATGTGCAGAAGATAATCCACAACCCTGAAATCTTATCAGTAATTATTTCAGCACATACAACTGAAAATAAAAATGGCAGAAAGACTAAATAAGAAAAAGGAATTTCCTTGTATTTGACTGTACTTAAGGCTGTTTATACAATGTTAAGATAACTGCAAAGCTCCTCCAACTTTAGAGTAGTAGTACTTAAGAATATTGCACACGCTTCTCTGTGTAAAATAATCCTTAGATCTAACTTTTAATCACAGAGACAATATAGCAGGAGCCCAGTTTCAGACTTCAGTCAAAAGAACATTAAGACCATTTCAGTCACTCTAATCAAGAAATGGATTAAGTATAAAAGTATTTTTATAACTTGAGGAATCAACTCTAAGAACTCAGCTGTGTGTTTTTATATGTAAAGAGCGAATATATAAATCTTTATTCATTTCTAAATTCGTTAATTTTATGACAATTTTATGGTTGCTAAAAGCAGGCATAAAAATTTAGAGAGGAAATCTGTGGAGCTGTTACTGTTATGGAAGGATTTGTTTTCACTGAAAACAATTTGAAATATCTTCTGTACTCAATGCGTGTAAGAAGATTGTAGGCAATATCACTGACAAATGTCAGAGAGAAATGGTATGCCCTATTTAAAAAAATTTAAAACTAATATGGAAGATTGGCATTTAAGGGGTCCAAACTATTTATACAGTTGAGTTCTGTTAAGTCATTGATTCCTAAAAAAATAAAAGATCTTTCTATGATTTTAATAATCCTTTAAACTTTTAGTGCAAAATCACATAGATTTCCCTGGGGAAGGTCCTGGATTTTTGCTTCTCATTGGGGGTGGTGCACGTTGTAAGGGTGGTGGCTGCATACCACCAGCCACTGACTGATACATTCCTCTCATATCAATCTGCTGGTAGTTAGAAGGAGTCATGATTAAACTTGGAGGCTTTGGCATCATGAGGTGACTCAGAGTTGCTTGCTGATAAGTCATTTGTTGTTGTTGCTGCTGATTGTACTGTTGCTGGAGCCTTCTGTTCATAAGTATTCGCTGAACACAGCTGATTAACTGGAGAGAGAAAAGGGAACTGTATATATACACAAGTGTATGTCCTGCCTCAAAGACGCAAGTATCAAGTTTTGAGTTAAAATCAATTTGTTAAGGGAGTACCATACCAAAAGGAAAACACATTATTGTTATCACCGTTACTAATTTGATGGTATTCAGAAGACCATTACTGTAGAAACCAGTTAGTAACAGCATTTAGGACTAAATTCTCTTAATGACTTGACTATTGTATTGCAGTCCTGCACTGATTAGTCTCAAGTATTAGTTACAGAACTTTTTGTCAACTCCCCTTTCTTTGTCATTCTCTTAAATATTTTACATGATGACAGACAAACATTTCAGTGATGGACACCAAGGGGAAAAGCATTTGTGGCAGGAATAATTCCTACCTGAAGGTCTCAAATTCCCTAAGCTAATTTAAAAGTACAATTCCACAGTGCTTTCTAAGTAAAACTCATGCCAGAGAGATTGATTCCCTGGTGTCAAGATGGTGCTGGGAAAGATGATCAAGGATCATGAAATATGGTATCTTTTGGAAGATTCAGGATAAGCAGGAGTTTATACAACATTCAGGACACCACTTCCATTTTCCAAACAAATATACTGAAATTTATACTTTTAGAAGATTTTAGAAAATGATAGAAGCAAAAGTCTTGAGACAATTCTAAATGTCCAAAATAGATAAAAAAAAATAAAATTAAAGAAATAGATTCCATAAAAACATACAGGAGAACTGATTGTGGGGCTGCTCTTTAATAAAATTAAAGAAAGAGATTCCATAAAAACATACAGGAGAACTGATTGTGGGGCCGCTCTTTCGGCCAAATATCTTAGTATCACTAGTTGTGTTTTTTTTTTCCAGCAAAACTTGAGAATAATCAATGACCATTCATCCTGTATGGTTATTACAGTCATATCAACTCATTAGAAACTGAAGACAATCCAACAGAGCCTAGAGACAAAGTTCTTACCATCTGTTGTTTTGTCAATACATCGTTGTAGATTGCCTCTCTTCGTTTCACGTCAAGCTCCTGGCTGGCTTGTCTACTTAATGCTAATGCCTGTACTTGGGCCTCAGAGAGATTCATGTTTTCTTTCCACTAAAAGAAAGACATTTCCATTTACTCCTCATAACTGTACAACAGAGGGGAAATTATTAAGGTACTTAAATACAGTCAGAATTTTTTTTTTGTTGTTTTTTCGAGACAGGGTTTCTCTGTGGTTTTGGAGCCTGTCCTGGAACTAGCTCTTGTAGACCAGGCTGGTCTCGAACTCACAGAGATCCGCCTGCCTCTGCCTCCCGAGTGCTGGGATTAAAGGCGTGCGCCACCACCGCCCGGCCACAGTCAGAATTTTTTAACCCTTGTTCCCCTTTCTTTACTCATTTCTAAAGAAACCAAGGTTAGGCAAACAGGGTACTAAGTTGTCCACTATTATATGTGTGTTGGCTTCCTCTGGAATAAAGAATTGTTTGGAATTAATCTGTATAAATGGTACATTTAAGACGTGATTATACAAACAATGCACACATTCCTATGCTTGATGTCTCAATTCTTATATTCTATCCATTTCTGTCAGCATTTATGCAAAATGGATGAATTACAGTCTAAGACTGTTATCAGCTTATTGGTACGTCACTATTTCTAATCAAATTATAAAGATTACATGATTCCGCTTCCCAGAAAGTAGAGAAGTTAACAAATGTTAAAACAAATGATGTGCGGAGGCTGATGTAAGTCAACTGTCAGTTACTTACTACAGTTGAAATGATATCTTCAAGAGGCTGGATCCTCACTGCTGTCACACTGTTCGTTGCTTCTACAACTTTTTCTCTTCCTTGATTAATAAGGTCCTAGAAGGATGTAAGAAATAAGCTATATAGGGTAGAAAGACAGCAGACTCCTAAAGTACACGGACCATTCTTCTTGTCAATTTATAGCACTTGATTTAAAACCTAAACAATTAAAGAGAGCAACAAAACTCAGCATCTAAAGTGAAGTAAAACTCAATGATGCAGAGGGAGGTGGATCTCTGTGAGTTCAAGGAAAGCCTGGTCTACATGGTGAATTCCAGGAGAGCCAGGGCTACACAAAGAGACCTTGTCTCAAAAAACAAAAAAACTCAATGATGCAAGAGACATTTTAAGAAGATGCAAATTTGGGGTTTATTGAACCAATTAACTTAAATAAACCCATTAAGTAAATTTTAAAAAAAACAGATTCAGTTAAATAATTAAACTGTTGGTATAACTGACTTGTCTCATTTAATTAATATTTTATTCTAGCTTTAAATCACAAATGTCATAACGATGGACAGTAGTATATACCTAATGGCACCCTACATTGCTTGTAAACTCATGTATGCATTTAACCTACTTTCAAACATTAAGTACTTTGTTTGTTCCAGGTATTTTATAATTGATCAAAGTGCTATTTCCCTAGCCGTTCAGCTGCCCTATTGTTCCTTAATTAAAATAATTCAAACTACATTAATTCAAGGATTGATTCCTTTGTGCTCTGTACCAACTCCATTTTACTATATTAGGTTGGTGAAAAAGGTCAACAAATAAACGAAAACTTTCTTGGTCTATTCAGGGTAATCTTTCAGAGAATGTGATAGTGCTGCAGTGGGAGCCGGCAACACGGCAGCTGGCACTGCCTTTAATTCCTGTTAACTACTTTTGTCTTTCAAATTCACCTCCAGCTGTTGATTACTCATTGCTGACAGGGCTCCCAAATTAAAAGGAATATAAGGAGTCTGAGAGCTGAAAGTGACAGGGGGTAAATTGGTCCCAGTTGGTATGTTGAAACGCATGGTCAGTCCCTAAAAAATCAAACCAAAAAAAAAAAGTTATGCACTTTTCACATTGTGATTAAAAACTTGAAATTCTACATCACCTACTGGTTTAGTAAAGAATCTACTTTCTCAGATCTAGGAAATTATTAACACTCTTCCACACATAAACAAAACACCCTTTTTACCCGAAACTAAGATCTTATTACATGGAAAGGTTTAACCCATAAAGGTATATTCTTTTTTTCTGGTTATTCCCACAGACCGAGAGAACTCTGTGAATTCTGATGAGACTCCTAACATCATATTAATGTTAAAGAAGTTTGGTACAATGAGTTAGGAGTTAGGGATTCAGGTATTAGGATAAGGTTTCCATGCTCAGTCTCATTTTTGTTCAAGTGGGCTGCTATTTAAAACAGCCAAGAATTACTAAATAAAGTTGCTGACAGATTGACATTAAATGTACAGCTCTTAATTCAGGAAGGGCTAAACAGAAATGGAGTTTTTTTTTAAATTATAAACTGCTTTCTTCTCCTTACTTTACTACCAAGCATAGGCAAACCCCATGAATTGAAACTCCTAACTGGGGAGCCTATACCTGAGGACCAACTATATTAATGTCTTCCTTCAAAGACAACCCCTCTCTTCTTCATTGCTCTGTCCAATGACTAACAGAAAAGCAGAAACTTCTAATTTGTTGCCCAGACCAATTTTTAACTGTTGAGTTCAAATAATTCCCCTGTCTCAGTCTTTCAAGTATCTGAGACTACAGACACTGCACTTAGTTCCAAAAGAATTATCAGTTATAAGCAGATCATTATGATATAAAATAAAAAATTTCATTGTGGCATACATGCAGAAAATGGACTCAAATCACAGGCACTCTAATTAAGCTTCTTCTTTTCCCCACACAGATCCATGAGAAGAGCATTCTGAACAAAATACCTTCTTTTCTGCTTCATATTCATCCCAAGCTGCTTTTCTTTCTTCTTCAGTCAGCTCTTCTTCTTCTTTGTGGTCCAAAAGAGAATCATGTTCATGATATCCTACAATGTGTTCTTTGTGTATCTGAAGAAGCTCTGCAAGTATGGTATCCTGTTTTGGGGGGTGAAATCATAATTATTTCCCCTCTGGATCATGTCTTCATAGTTCTAAACTGTTAAGAGTAGAAACCGACTGCTTTTCATATTTCCAATGTATACTATATATTACCTAGAAAATAGACCGCGTATCAGAATTTCATAACTCAAAATATTTAGAGATTTTTTTTTAAAAGAGAGAACTGATCTCTAACTTGTTATGTAGCCAAGAATGACTTTGAATTCTTGATTTTCCTGCCTCCATCTACAAAGTGCTAGGATTACCGGTAGGTACCACCCCATCTGACTATCTACAAATTTAAATTGATATACATTATCAATTAATTATAACAAAGTCTTTTAAAATGGTGTCCTGAGCTTATTATTATTTGCATTTGTGTGGTGTGTGTGTAGATACACATATATGCTACAATATACACCATAGCATGCAAGTGGAGGTCAGACGACAACTTGCTGAAACTGTTCTCTCCTACCTTATGGGTTCTGGGGCTCAAAATTCAGGCCATTAGGCTTGGAAGCAAGCACTATTTCCTACCAAGTGATTCTTGCCAATGTGTGTCTGTGTGTTGAGTACAGTGCCCTCGAAGGCTAGTGGCATTGGATTCCTGTGAAGCTTAAGTTACAGGCAGTTGTGAGCTATGGACATATGTGATGGAATCAAACTCCCTTACAGGACGGTATATGTTCTTAACTGCTGAGCCACCTCTATAGCCCTAAGTCTGTCTTTGAACACTAAAAATTGAATGCTTAAACATAAAATCCTGCTCTGTGTAATTATGACTGTGAGAGTATATTACAAAAGAGAGATGCGTGTGAGTTTAACATGAATCAGTCATGAACATGATAATTTTGCTAATAAAACATTAGTCAGGCAATGTGACACAAACCTGTAACCCCAGCCACACTTTTTTTTTCAATAGGAGGTTTCTCTTGTAGTTTGGCTGACCTGGAACTCATTCTGTAGGCCAGGCTGGCAGATCCACCAGCCCCTGCCTCCTGAGTGCTGTGATTAAAGGCACGTGCCACCACCACCAAGCTCTCAGTCACTCTTTAGGTCATGGCGGAAGGATCACAAGTTCAAGGATTATTCAGTGTATGACCCTGACTCAAAAACCTACCAAACCTAAATGTGGAACATGACTGTAATCCCAGTACTTGGTAGTAGAAAAATGAACAAACTTGAAAATATCCACAAGTTGTTAAAAATCATACATGAAAACATGGATATAAAAGAAAATTTATTTACAAATGATTTTGCAAAGATGTTAACAAGTTCTCCTTGGATATACTTTCTAGAGAACAAATTACTGATCAAATGAATGGTGGTGGGGCATATGGCACATAAAAGCAGCTAATTTACATCAAGCAATGCTTAACTCGTGCATAAGTTTAAGCATAGACAAATCCCACACTTGCAAAAAACTGTCTTCACATATTTAGCCATACCTAGAAATAGGATCCAAAACAGGTAGGAAGTCAAATGTATGTTAAATAACTCAAGATGAAAGATAAAGCCCTAACCCTTTTCCTGTACAACAGCAAACACTGATACTAATTCCATATAATGTGATATTTAATCTCATATAAACAACCTTTAACTTGCTACTGTAGCAAACCTGACTTTTTAAAGCTATAGCTATAATTCATTTTGACCTGCAGCATGTGCTTTGTTGAAGTGAGCAAGTTTTTAAAGGACCATACAAAGAGAATTTCAAGAAAATTTCCTGGTAGAACCCAGTTATGAAAGGTACTGTCTGGTATAGAAATCTTCCATCCAAATCTCAGTTGCTGGCCTGTGGACCACTAAACAGGCTTATCATCAATTTTTCAAACTCCACAGCAGTTACCAGGACTAGTGGACAAAGAGATGTGCCTGTCTTTATAAACTCATCTACAAAAAGATACTCCCATGACTACCCCAAGCATAAAAGAAATAAACCAGGTAACACTCGGTTTTTAATTTATATATTTTGTTTTGTTTTCATGAGACAGGGTCTCAGACTGGCTTTGAGCTCCTAATTTCTTGCCTCTACTTCACACGTACTGGGATTACAAACATGAATCACTATACTCAGATTTTTTTTTGGAGGTAAGAGTTTTGCTATACGTCGTGAATTGGGCTCAAACTCATGATCTTCTTGCCTTGGCCTCTTGGGTACTGGGATTACAGGCCTCAATCACCACATTCAGTCTCTAATATTTTCACAGGGGAACATTCAAATAAAACTATTTAAATTACAAGGCTCAGAGGCTTGATGGATAGTACCTATCTTATTTCTGCCTGGCAGTAAGAGAAAACTGTAACCACAATTACTATCAGTTCATTTCTCTGACAAAGCTACCTACTCCAGGGACCAAGAGAACACTACACCTTGGACTTGGAGCTATACCACTGATAACTCTGGCTTTGAACAGAAGTTAAATATGGATGAAATACTACTTGCTCACAGAATAACAAGATGGTACAAGAATAGCAGAATAAATGAAAACACCCAACCTTTAAAATAATAAAGACCTTGTCAATTGAGTAATGTCTATTTCTCAATTATACCCCAAGTCAGATATTACTTATTTACTGTGAAGGAGAAGCCTTTCCAAAAATACATGTGTACACACAGTAAAAATGTCTGAGACATCAGCGAGTTTTATCAGGTTGGTCCTTAGCATACTATAATTTCAAAACCCAAATTTACTGACTTGAAATTAGGAGAAATTGAGGACCAGGCAAGTGACTTTTCCAATTATACAAGGGACTAGCAGGGACTAGCAACTGAATTTTCCAACTCTTCCCCAGTAATTATTATTGTATCACACTGTAGAGAATGCTTATTTTCACTAGGCATGGCTCCTCCATTTCCTAGATCTACATATTTAGATAAAAAAACATAATCACTTAAAGGACTCTGGGCAAGGAAAAAATATAATGAGGCCTTTCATTTTTCTTTCCTTTTAATACTTGTAACTTCTTTGAGATTTTCCTTAACAAGTATAATTTTTCAAGATTTATTTATCTTAAAGTTATGCATATGGGTGTTTTGAGTGTGTGTGTGTGTGTGTGTGTGTGTGTGTGTGTGTGTGTGTATGCACCATGCATGTGCCTAGTACCCACAGATGCCAGAAGAGGGCATGGCTTAACTGGGACTAGCCTAATAGATGGTTGTGAGTCAGGATGTGTGTGTGCTAGGAAGTCAGGTCCCTTGGAAGAAAAGCCAGTGTTCAATGGCTGAGCCATCTTTCCAGCCTCAGTGGAAACTTTTAAAGACTAGTTCATGCTCATACCAGAGTTGGCATGCACTATTTTAACATTTAATTCCAGATGCAAGATTTATTCTATCAAAATGAAACACAGGAAGTGATTTCAATTTCCAGCAGCCACATGGTGGCTCAAAACCATCTATCTATAGGGGGATCTGATGCCCTCTTCTGGCATGCAGTTGTACATGTGGATATAGTACTCACATAAAATAAATTCCTAAAAAAGGAAAATTGTTTTTTTTTAAAAAAAAAAACGAAACACGATTGGCCAATTAAGGCCAGGCAATGGTGACAATTCAGCCTCTGCCCCAACAATAATGCTCCTTTTGATTCCTAGCCAAAGAAATAGTAGTAAGCCACAGGAAAAGTTCACATTTCTTTGATTACTACCACTAATAAATTTTATAGCCTTACTAACATAGTACCTTCTGCATTTTATCAAGCCAAACCTCAAAAGCCAAAACAGAAACTATTCATATTGTTTCTAATGAATGTGATAGTCTCTCTTTTTAAAGAAATTAATGAAAATAATACTGGTATCTAACTATACAACCTGGGGACAGCTATGAGCAACATGTTATATATTCCTCCACATATTTATACATGCAGCTTTGCATAAAAATGGGAAAGCATTATACTTAGCTGAAACCTACCTTTCTCTCTTGCTATGTTTGCAACATCATTTTACACCAAATACAAACCATGAGTTTTGATGGGTGTATATTATTATAAGTGGTTTTCAACCTGTGGGTTGCAACCCTTTGGCAAACCTTTCTCTCCAAAAATATTTACATTATGATTCATAGCAGTAGTAAAATTACAGTTACAAAGTAGCAGCGAAAATAATTTTATGGTTGGGGGGTCACCACAACATGAGAAACTATATTAAAGGGTCACAAGCATTTAGTAAAGTTGAAAACCACTTTATTATACAGAAAATACTTCATCAACTATTCATTCCTAAAAAGTAATAGTGTTTGAAGACATTAAAATTTTTTTGTTATGATACCTGCAATGAAATGAATTTGTGAATATATTTTAATAATTTCCTCAAATGTTGATTATACTCAAGCCCCTTAACAAACATTGTGTACCACAATGACCATTTGAAGATTCTGGGGAGGTAGCTCAGTTGGTAAAGTACTTGCTTTGTAAGGACAAGAGTCAATTTGGATCACCAGTACACATGTAAAAAGCTGGGCATGGCTGTACATGTCTGTAAACCCAGGGCTAAGGAGGAAGAGAGAGGAGGAAATCTGGGGCTCCACAGCCAGCTAGCTTAGTCAAATATACAAGCCCCAGATTCAGCAAGAGACCCTGTCTCAAAAGTTGAAGATGAAAAAAGTCGACCTCTGGTCAGATGAGCATTCACTCACAAATTCATGCATATGCCACCCTCACTCTAATTTACAAATAAAAAGACAACGCACATAAATGAAGCCATTGTCTTAAAAAAATAAAATAGGGGAAAAAAAAGCAGGAAAGCAGACACCTTTCCCACATCTTTGGCTTTTACATTAATTGCAGCATTCAATAAATACAATTAAACTAATAATGATATTAAGAGAGCCAAAAAGTATTTGTAACATAATCCTCAAGATTACTTCTTTAAGAAAAAAAGTTTTGCACATCCAGAATAAACTATGAAACTTACAGTTCTCATCCCATGTAAGATACAATCAGTGGAAAGGGTTTTGTTTTCCCCTTTAAAGCAGCATTTATATTTGTTGCTATAGTAAC